GGGCTTCGTAACAGTGTTTTTCCGGTGAAATAGTGCACCTCAAGATAACGGCTGAGAAAAATTTATTTCGCCAGCAATTCGGAAACCACATAACAATTCTAAAACAAGAGATGTTTTTCAAAGGTTCTGAAGTATTTTTTTCCAAGATTCCTTAAAAAAAACGATTTTTTACGAATTTTCTAATTCAGGTAAAATTTCACCATCATATTTGAGCTCAAGATGCGCGTTACGTCACCAACCTGACAAACGTGACTTGCGCGTCACATTGAGAAAAACATCATCAAAACACTCGAATTCCCTCTTAGATCATACAAAAACTTCGAAACAGGTCTCCTTCATGTTCAATATACATATAGTTTTCTCCTGAAGCCAAAAATTCAAGGCAATCTTGGCAATTTTCGATAGTCTACTAAATTCAAATTGCTGGTTTATGTTTTGAGAACGGCCATATTCGCAACTGATACCAACCCAACAATAACAAAAACTTTGTTAACGTCAGAAAGAATTGCCCAGGGTATAATTACACAAAATGTTACCGTTAGAAGTGGTTTCAATGCCAAGAGTATGCACTTTAGCCTGCTCCACCGTTTTCAAAACTTATCCATGCTACCATTTCTCGCCACTGCAGTGCAATCGATGGTATGTGATTGCGTTACACACATGAATCAAAACAAAAAAAAAACAAAAAAGTCTTTTTATAGGATTACACAATTACTGGTGAACCAGTAGTTTCCATTGTGGTCCTTGCAAACAAATGAAACAAATGGTCTAAATTGAACATAACATCATTAAGAACATCATTAAGAACCCCAACCAGCCGGAGGCAAACCAGTTGGCTCAACTGGTCAAACAAGGGTGGCCAAGGATCTGAACTCGGGGCTACCGTGAAACAAATCCAGTGGTCAGGGTGGGACTCTAACCCGGGAGCGGCGGATTACGAGTCCAACACTCAAACCACTCAGCCACACTGCCTCCTTGGAATGATTGACTCTGTCAAAAGCCTTGCGGAGAAATCCACAAACGCAACATCCACTTGACGTCCTTCATCCTGCGCTGTTACCCAATCATGATGAGTGACGACCAATTGTGTCTCGCAACATTTTCCTTTTACAAAACCGTGCTGCCACTCGGTTAGATACGGTGAAATATGTGTATAAATAGCAGTGTGCACGAGACGTTCCAAACATTTTGCTGGAATAGGTAACAAGGAAATAGATCAATAATTTTCCACAAGTTCCTTTTTATCGCTCTTATGTAAAGGGATGATGTTAGCAGATTTCCATAATGTAGGTATGACACCTGACCTTAAAGATAAATTAAAAAGATGTGACAGGGGTACAGACAATTCCTTTGCACATTTTCGTAGAATTCTGGATGGTATGTTATCCAAACCAGGTGCTTTGTTTAAAAGCAAGGAGAAATCATGCACCTGGGTTTCCTACTCTATTATATCTTTCACTTGAAAGAAAGTACGTGCACGGTGGCTACACGCGATTTCAATTGTAAGGGGCAGGGGATTAGCTTCGGGGGAGGGGCGAGTGCTTGGGTTGGTTAGTAGTAGGCGAGGGTCGAAATGTCGCGTTTGAGGACCTGACTGAGTGACAGTGTTTCGTTCTTTGACAAGACATTATAATTTCAGTGCCCTAAGTTTAGACGTTCATAAATTGTGAAACCTGTCGAAATGCCAAGGGTAAACTTGCAGTAGACTGGTAGTCCATGCTGAGAAAGTGCCAATACTCATCTCTTCACATTACAGAAATCGGGAAAAACTCCGACTGAATAGGCTGACCACTTAGCTCGACTGCTGACCACCTGCATTGCAGGATCACGGCACTGAGTTTATGAAATATAAGACACCTTTTAAGTAGTGGCCGGCCCAATATCTATAAATTGTACTGTGAGACAACAAACATTTAAAACATTTTGTAAATACAGTGAATAAAATTGTAAAAAATACACAGGTTTTCCTTAATGGGCTATTTACAAAATTGTGTGAAAAAGAATAGTACAAAACATCACCTTCAGTACCGACAGATTAAATTATAAAATGTTCAGCGTAAAATGCCTGTAAATTGTGGATTATATTATCTAATAAAATCTCGTTCAAAATGCGCCTTCGTTAAAGATAACTTTTGTACAACATAATGACAAATTCGAACATTCTTTAGTAAATTTTAAGAGTTCCTTCTGTCAAATTTTGTTCCTGATTTAGTATATAACTAACAGCATTCTATTATGAACTCTGTAATCTGATTGGCTAAGCTACTCGCTATCTTCTAAAAATTAAATTTAATGATGACGTCATCTTTGCTTCTGTTCTCCGACAAATCATAACAGCCAATCAAAATACGTGTATAATTTAGGCTATTAAAACAATTCGTGAGAGATGGTGAGACAAGTGATTGGCAGCTCAGAATGCGATTGTGAAACAAAATGAAATACAAAATGATAGCCAGTCGTTAAAAACTTACTGTTATTCACCACAGATTTATATTCACCCTGATCAACTAATTTCTCCAGGATCTATAGCGTGATACTTGCTACTTGGGATGTTGGGGGAACACGAGGAAAACTCATAGATCGCGAGCCGAAGGCGAGTAATTAAAAAGCTTTCCTCGTGTTCTCCCAACATCCCAAGTGGCTTTGTCTCGTCACAGAGCCCGGAAAATGCGCTCTATTGCTTTTATTACATAACTAGTTACATGCGGGCTCTATAACCTTATAAAACATCTGCTTGGAAACTGAATTGACCAATCAGACGATGCGCACTATGTCAAAATGTCGAAAGCAGATAATCTTAAAATCAGATATTTTAAACCCTGTGGTGCTGAGTGTTTTACACGTGCCACACTTAACGAGGTAACTGGAGTGCAAAATGGAGGTCTCTAAATGCCAGAAACTAAAAAAACTAACTCAGCCTCGAGTACAAAACATCAATAGAACTCGAGATATCGCTTTAAACGATTTGTTTAAAATGAATGTTAATCCAGTGTTAGTGGTGACACTAAAGATGGATCAGAGAGCGGTTTTGTTGAACAGCTGAACATTGTTTGAATAAACAGTCATACAGGCCGAGAGAAAAATACGGTGTAATTTCTTAAACCCGGGTTTGCAAAAATAAAAACGAAAAACTTCAGCGTTTCACGTTAAAAGCGCGTTTAAGTCGTAACCACACTTACTCTTTAGTCGCTTTTAAGTCTGTTCGTGACCAAGGAAGTCATTGTCATTGGTCTTTGAAAGAAAGAAACTCCCCGCTTTTCTGAATGAGTCCTCGCATGCGTTCAGTGTTTACTTATACCACTTCATTTAAAAGGCATAGGATGTTTAAAAAATTGTTATCAAAAAATCAAAATAAACCGAAAAAATCAAAATAAAAGGGGAAATATGTAATCTAGATTGCTTTCCGCAAGCAACCAACTCATTGGTTCTTCATGGTTGTCTTCAGTAATGGAATATAATTTGAACACTGTGAGGAAATTCACCAGCCCCTCCACAAACCACAAATACCCTGCCATCATCAGTGACAGCTATGTCAGTGATTCCAGGCAGTGTACTGTAGTAAGATTCCAATGAACCATTCGGCAAATAACAACGAACCAACTTGTACAACCCACTGTATGCAAGCACTTTGCTACCTGCTTCGTCTAGTGCGATCACAAGCGGATAGAAGGCACGTTCATTTGGATCTTTTTTCAGCATACATTCGCCAAATGCCCTCAGGTACTTACCCTCGTGGTCAAACACACTCACCATGCAACGATTGTTTTTCTTGTCAACATCTGACACGAAAAACTCGTTGTTGAGTTCGACAGCTTTTAAGGGGTGAAGTAGTTTTCCTGAGAGGCTTGTCCCAAAACAAAGGAGTTCCTCTCCACTTGTGTTGAACACCTTAATACACGACTCATGGCCTTGCATTACAGGTGTGCACGTGACTAAAATTTGCTCTTCATTTACGTTAGTGATGCGAGTGAACCAATGAGAGTTAGAAGCCAACTTAACGAGACAGCGTGTGAATCTACCTGAACTATCAAATGCTTGAATCCGTGCTGGATTACCAAACAAACAGCCGTCAGCAACGGCGATCAAATGTCTCGTTAGAAATGTCACTCCAGTTGGCGATTCAAGGCTTCCGTCTTTTGATCCTCGTCTACCAATACAAGCCATAAACTCTCCTTGTTTGCTGTATATCAACACAGCATGATTTCCTTGATCACTCAGTGCAATATTACCTTCATCGTTTATTGCCACTGAGAATGGCTGAAACTTTCGTTTTAAAGGCTGTGGTATATTAAGAGAATGAAATCTTGTACCAGGTTTAAGAACTTCAAGGCTTTCCAAGTCACCCGAGTCAGGTGAACTGATTAACATGTTTGAAGATGTTAATTGTCCCTTCAAGCCTACACTTCCAAACATGTTTCCACTGACACACTGAAGAACTTCTTTGTTTGCCATAAATTCGAACAAATCTTTCGTCTTTTCCGTCTCAGAAGCAGAATGCAAATGACTCAACTTGGTACACGCAACATTTGCATCTCTAATTCTGTTTAACAAATGCTCTTTATCATTTGCTACGTCTAAAGCATCTCGTAATTTAAAGGAACCCTCGATATGAGTCAATAAAGTCTCTGTTTGTAAGGTTAGAAAACATGCTGGATGTTTCTTTTCTTCTTTCTCCACTAAATTGTCGACTTCAGCGCACAACGCTGCTTCTTGCTTTCGTAGAACTTCGACGAGGTTCTCAAAATCTTCGCGAATTTTGCGCTTGATTAGTTCTCCTTGTTGTTCTATGTTATTACGAGCCTCCTCGTAGATTTTTCGCACGATCGCCAGTTTTCCACTGCAGTCTTTCAATACTTTCCTGATCTCTTGAATAACTTTCTTGGCCGGCGAATCTCGAATTAAACGTGCTAAATAATCATTTGTAGGAAAACCATCAACTCCGCGGTCAGGAATAGGACAAACAGCACGACAGATCGGACAGCGAAAACTCAACGTATGGTGATGTAACAGTTCTTTCAGACATTTCTTACAAATGTTGTGAAGGCAACGTAAAACCTTTGGCTCAACATATTCTTCCAAACAGATAGGACAGTTGGCCTCTTTACTGAAAATATGGTCGATATTACTTACCGATGAAGCCATAAATTGTTCAAACGAGCGAGCGAGTTGTCTCTTTTCGGTTCGAAGCTTTGTATTTGTTTGTTTTATTACCACGCGGCGCATATTCAATGAAAGACAACAAAAGAACGAATTTGCATATTAAGTATGCGAATGAGCACAAAGAAGCTAACAGAAAAAATACCAACCCCGCAGACCGTTTCTGGGACTGCAAGATTTTCGCACAAAACAGCATCATTGATAAAAAAGAAATGCTTTGGCTTAAAATTCCTGAAAAAGTCTTATGAAAGGATACATTTTTTATCACGAGCCGTAACCACCGTTTGTAAATTTCCAGGCCTGATCGGCAAATAAATTCTCCTTATGTTTCCAGCACGGGCTCACAATGCCAAATTATTAGAACTCTTCAAAAGAAACGTTGGGTCTCAATTAAGAGAATTAACTTTCAGATCCCGAGAAAGGTTCAGATATTACCTCAGATATAAACTGAAACAGTTCAGATATAAACTGAAACTAGTTCAGATATAAACTGAAACAGCTACCTCTAAATCCGTACATTATCAATTGGTATCATAGTTTCCTCTATGCAAGACAACAACGTGTTGTTAGTTATAATTTTTTAGGACAGTGGAAATCTGTCAATAGAGGAACCACACAAGGTAGTGTAAGCGGACCGTATCTTTTTAATATATTTTTGAACGATTTGGAGATTTTTTTTAATGGTTGCCCTGTGCTTTTTAAATATGCCGATGATTCCACTATTCTTTCGCCTATCACTAGGAATAGTGACCCGTCTGCCGACTTAGTAGGACAGTTCTTAACATGGTGTAAAGACAATAGAATGGTCTGCAACCCTTGCAAATGTAAAGAGCTGGTTGTTAGAAAGAAAAATCATAATGTACTCTACTCTCCAATTAATAATATTCCCCAATGTAATAGCTTCGTTTTACTAGGAGTAACTTTACAGAGTGACGGAAAATTTGATGAGCATGTAAGAACTAAGCTTGTCAAAGCAAACAAGTGTTTACACGTCCTACGAACATTGAGAAAGGAACATTACTCTCAGGCAGAGATTGATCATCTTTTTATATCCATTGTTTTGGCTAATTTTAGCTATGCACTTTCAGTCTATGGGGCATCTGAGTCCGATCTTACGGTTGTACAAAATTTTTTAGACCGATGTCATAAACGCGGTTTTATCTCATTTCCAGTTTTTATCAAGAACCTTTTAAACAAACAAGACCGAAACATTTTGAAGAAACTAAAATCAACGGATTGCCACCCCCTGAAAGACATCATTCCTGTCCAAAAGACATATGTACACAATCTTAGGAAAAAAGGCTGCGCGCGCCCGAAAATTAATACACAGCGCTTTATGAACACCTTTGTAAATAGGTTGATATTTAAGCTCCATTTATTGTAATGACATACTTTTTAATTCATAATATGTATGTAGATTTCTGTAGTTTTTCCAAATTCATTGTAACATAAGATATGTAGTTTTATCTTATGATGGAATAAAGACTTTATTATTATTACCTCATCCGCCTATCCCAGAAATACTTTTAAGCAAAAATTGTTGGAGTCATTTCTAAACGTTTTAATGGTATATTTCGAGCCTGGAGCATAGATTTTTTGTAAGTCGGTCTGAAATTTAGAAAACAATCAAAATATTTCAGTTATTTCATTCACAAACTGCTCTTTGAAATGGAGTTTTGAATCGTTGATGCGTGTTCTTGTCTCCGTGTCTGAAATAGCATTTTCTCAGAAGTTTTTAAATCAGAACAATCAGATATACAAACACTGTATAAATTGAATACTCTTAATTTTTATTGTTCCCACAGACAGCGAGTTTCAGTTTTATCACCATATTCCTTCAAGCGTAAATTCGACAAACTAAACTACAGGCTTCGCAAGCGTACTGTGTGTGATTTCGGGGTCTTAAGTTCATTAATGGGAATAAGCGTGAGCCGTTAAAAAAGGACAAATTACAAAAGAATTAAAGAAAATTCAAAAAGGATAATAAAAGCGAAGAATATAACGTGTGGTGCCACCAGACAACCGTATTTTTTGTCCACAGTTGACTGGTAGGACCACACGGGTTACAAAGATTAAGTCGCCGAAACAGAGTTTAAAACGACCATTTACGACAAAGCAGCTACGGAAAAAAGGTAACGACGTTATATTTCTCGCTCTTATTATCCTTTTTAATTTTTCTTTAATTTTTTTTAATAATTTCTCCTTTTATCAACGGCTCGTACTTTCGCATAAAATTCGATCTTAATGTTAGGTATAGGTGGTTTGCATGTTACGTCATGGCCACCATGTTGGTGGACGTAAACAATGGATATCTCATTAGCTTCTTTTGTTCGTCCACCAGCATTTGTTCCTTTCACCATTGTTACCTGTATCTCTAGAGATTGGTTGCAAACCACCTATTCCCCAAAATCACACACAGTACGCTTGGGCCGCCTGTGACTAAACCTAAGTTTTCTTACAACCTAGCATTGATGATCTGAACAAACTCCGGCTTAAGAGACGCTCCTCCAACCAGGAAGCCATCAACATCACTTTCCTTGGCCAGTTCTTTACAATTCTTGGCGTTCACGGAACCTGTTCAAATAATACCCAAAACATCACAAGGTCTTAATTATTGCAAATTCCACGTGCAATCGGGCTTTATTCTATTCAACGAAATAAAAACAAAGGTTTGCACTGCTATTTTTCTCTCACACACACCAAACACAGCCCAGGGCCGAAATTTTGTTTTCGTCAACAGTCCATGCCAATTTAAAGAGGTTTCGCGTCAAGTTTTTCCATTTCAAATTAAGGGGAGCAACTACAGAATACAGGGCCATTGAGGTCCACCTTGCCGGCATGCTTTGAAGAACGAGGCAGAAAACAAAAGGATGCATTGTAGTTTCGTTCTTTCAAAATAGGTTTCGTTCTTCTAAAAATTTCAGTTAACAGTATAACACATATTTTGTTTATAGCCCTTGAGATGAACGTACGTATGGTAATTTCTATTTTGGAACGAAATGACCCTTAAAAAGAACGAAACGAGTTTGCCTCTAAGGGCCTCTAAGGGCCTACCTCTACATGAGACAGATTTGACCATAACGCCAGCTTACTATTTAAAATGTTGTTTCAAAAGGATCATATGTGGAATTATAAGACACTGGAAGAAATGGCTGGGCAGAAATAGCTTACACACGGCCTTATAGACTTGACCATGCAAAAACGCTGAAAACCTCATGATAATTTCAGTGGCTTATAAAATGATTTTCCACAAGCTCTTCTCTTTCTTACAAGGAAATATTTACATGGTTTGTGTGCAGTCTTTAATAGATTTAGTATGCTTACCTCCATAAATTATTCTAGTTGAACTGGCGACAGCAGCTGAAACGTTATCTGTAAGCCAACCTCTCAGTTGATGATGGACTTCTTGGGCCTACACGTTATCAAGTTAGAGATGCTTATTATGAACCAATTTTTTTGCCATAATACAGTTTGTTCACACCATGTATTGGCTAGTTCCCAGCGCAAGCGCAATGCGAGTCACAAGGATTTAAACAAACTGGGCTAAGCTCTGGCAATGAGGACTAACTGGCTTATAAAATCTCATCTTACACTACCGTATAGTTCATGAAAAAAGGCTCTAAAGAGGCTAGATGAAAAAAATTCAAATTCGACACTGTCCACACATGTAATTGACCTCTTGTTGCCCACGTTTTCTATTTATTTTTCTTTATTTGAAAGGGGGCAGGGTATCTTGTAGAGAAGTCGTCGACAAGATTGAAGAGAATCTGTCCCTTTTGAGGAGAAATTGAAGCGGATGAAACAAAAGGAACCCCCACACTAAAAAAAAAACAAACAAAAAAACAAAAACGAAAAAACAAAAAATTCTCTTTGTTAATGAGTTTGTGTACCCATTAAAATGGATAGGCGGCTAGGGTAAGAAAGTACGAAATTAACAGTATCTTACCAAAAATCAAAGCACGTGTGACTCTGGGGCAAAGGAATAGTATTTGATTGGCCTTGTCACCAACACATAATTATAGTTTCTATTCATCACAAGGAACACTCAACACACACTGAATTAAACCTTACAAAAAAAGCAATTTGTTTTAATCTGCTGCTGTTTCTTTAACAGTGCATTTTGGATTTTGCTTTTTTCCCTCAAGTTTTGTTCATAATTAACCCTTACTCTCTAACATACAATTCTTATGACGTTGTTTCAGAGAATTTGGTATTGGATCAACTGATAATCCCTTAATAGACATTTTCTTTATTCTCATGATTTGTCTTCTTGAAGTTGTACTAATAGAAAAAGGAAAAATTGGTCACGGTCACTCGTGGAATTTAAAGGGTTAAAAAAAAGTTGTTAAAACAAATTTGTGAGATAGCCAGAAAATGCAAGAATTACTGACCACTTAAATAGAAGTCCAGATGTTACATAGCAGTTGTTTCTCATTCATATTCATTGACTATGTTATTCCCAGAAGATAGTTAAGTGCGACCCCTGTCTTTATACCACACAGAGCAGTTTGGTAAAATGTCCTCACCTGCTGAGGAGTAGCCGTGACTCCAGTGCCAATGGCCCAAACTGGTTCATAGGCAATAACCACTCTACTCCAGTCACAAACATTATCTGTGGCAAAGTAAGCAAATACTGGGTTCATAGGCAATAACCACTCTACTCCAGTCACAAACATTATCTGTGGCAAAGTAAGCAAATACTGGGTTCATAGGCAATAACCACTCTACTCCAGTCACAAACATTATCTGTGGCAAAGTAAGCAAATACTGGGTTCATAGGCAATAACCACTCTACTCCAGTCACAAACATTATCTGTGGCAAAGTAAGCAAATACTGGGTTCATAGGCAATAACCACTCTACTCCAGTCACAAACATTATCTGTGGCAAAGTAAGCAAATACTGGGTCCATAGGCAATAACCACTCTACTCTAGTCACAAACATTATCTGTGGCAAAGTAAGCAAATACTGGGATAAGGGATTGTCTTGTGAGCAGACTCTAATCCCCACATATCTAGTTCCCATCTTCTATGAGTATGTTCTTCCCTTTAAAATGAATTTTGACAAAGGAGAGATGGTTCAAACAATCAGTGGTTTTAGTAAGATAGTCAACCCAGAGAAGTACCATTACAATGGTAAAAGTAAAAGTTTATATTGTACAAACCAGCAATGGCTTTAAGCTGCCTTGACACAACTTCTGTGGTTTTTCCAGACTCTCTCTCTGACAAAAGTTCTCCAATACAGGCTATCACACTTAATCCTTCTGACAGTGCATGAGCTACCTTCTCGCCAATCAGCTGAAGAAATCACAGTCACAAAAATACATTGATGTCAGCTTATAAATATCTGATCCCTTTTGAATTGTTGTATATGGCAACATCATTCTCTTACATCATGTTTAAATGATTTTAACTAAAGGAACTATGTCTCACTTCATATGTAACCATGATGAGAATTTATTCTCACATAGACTTCAAACTGTTTTCTTTTAACTAAAAAGAAAGAAGCCCTACCAGTTCTCAAACTTGCCATGCTAAAATCAAAGTAAGTGGGTTTTGTGGAAATTACAAGAGAAAAGAAACAGAATAACTATAGCTTACTATACATCTTCACCAGCAAATGCTGCCTGGCTGGGATGCATAAGCTGAAATGGATCCACATTTAGAAGAGCATATGATCAAAAAATGGCACAGCTTGTTGGAAAGATGCTGCTTTTCTATTTGTAGTTTTCATCAACAAAGCCATCAAATTGGAGACAAAAAGGAAGATGTGAAAAGAAAAAATCTGCTTTTCACTATATGAAAAGATAAAAGGGTTTGGCTAAATTGAAGATAGCTTAGAATGTGCTTTTGTGAACAACTGCTAAACATTGTTTAATAACCAGCCCAAAATGTTCGGTGCTTAAACTGACACTATTCCACAAAACACATCATCTACAACTACCAAAGGTCACTTCCTTATCTCTCACCTCATCACTCTCTTGGAAAATCTTTCTCCTTTCAGAATGTCCTAAAATCACCCAGCTACAGCCAATGTCTTTGATCATAGCAGGGCTAAAATGGATAATTAATATCTAGTTACTTTTTTACAAATGACAGATATGAATAGAGGCACTTTGAGTCAGATTCCACCTCAACACAGTATACAAAATGTATATCTGATATGATGAACTCCTGAATGGTAGTCTGGAAAACCCGGAATTCCATCAGAATCCCACCGGAAATTTTCAACGTCTGTTTTTTTATTCAAAATGACTCCAATGATTTTCCAAAGAGTGTACGAGCTCTGAAAATACTCAGATGATTAACCCGAAGATTATTCGATGGTTTCTGAATTTACCCGGAGAGCCCTGAATTTTTAAAGGCTCGTTTTTCTTCTTTTTTCAAGATTTTTCCGAAGAGTGTACAAGCTCCAAATGTGTACTCCGAGGATTAACCGAAAAATATCTGAGGGTCTTTGAAGTTACCCGGAGAACCTCAAAGAACAATCGAACCCCAAGCTTCATTTTTTTTTATCTATTTTTTTCTTTTATCTTTTGTTTATTTTTAATTATTAACTTATCTATTTTTTAACGGCCATGAAACTAAATAATAAACAGCAAATCATTCATCAAATAATAGGTTAACATGGTCAGCCTCCCTTTAATCGAGATCTCAATCATTCTTTAAAAGGGTACAAAGAAAATATAACAATGCTTAAGTCAATCTGCCATTTATTCAATTTCAATTCCAGGAAAGCACTGCTTAACGAAAGTGATAAGCTCTTCCGTTAGAGAAAAGCCTCCCTCAGTTCTCCTCAACAAACCTTGCAGGTTTTCCAGCTTACCTTTCCAAAGAGCATACAAGCTTCGAATATACTCCGAAGATTAACCAAAGATTATCTGAGGGTAAAAAAGTCGTATCTTAAGGATACTACAGACTTCGTCAATTTCATAGAAAATACGAAAGTCCCGGAGAACGTAGTACTTGTTTCAATGGATGTTACGAGCTTATATACAAATATAACACAAGAGAAGGGAATAGACACTGTATGCAGAGTGTACGAAATATTCTACAGAAACAATACTCCTATCCCTACACAACTCCTAAAACAAGTGCTTCTAAAGGCTAATTCTCCAAGAAAATTCTTTCCAGTTTAATGGAAAGCACTATCTTAAAACACATGGTACGGCCATGGGCACGAAAATGGCAGTCACCTTTTCTCATATTTTCGTCAACAAGGTAGAGACAGAAATCCTTGACAAAAGCCTTTTCAAAGCACTTGTTTGGAAACATTACATAGACGACATCTTCTCCCTATGGAGTACAAACAAAGCAACAATAGAATGTTTCACTGAAAAAGCAAACAATCATCATTCAACAATAAAATTTACGGCTGAAATTTCTGATGAGGAAACAACATTCCTGGACACCTACATCTACAAAGGTGAACGATTTGAAAAAGACACAATCCTTGATGTGCGTACTCATTTTAAACAAACTGAGACATTTCAGTATACACACTATAGTTCATGACACCCACAAGGAGTTAAAAAAGGCTTCATAAAAGGGGAGGCCCTTAGACTTCCCAGAGCAAACTCCACTCAAACAATATTTAGGGAGAGAATTGCAAATTTCAAAGCGCATTTGCTAAATAAAGAGAGGCTACCCAGAGGACCTCATTAACAAAACCCTCTCAGAGGTGAATTTCAAAAACAGGAAATTAGCTCTTCAACAGAAACAGAAGACCAACCAATGAATCTTGCCTTTTGTTACACAATACCCACCATTAGTCCCAAACCTAAAGCACTAAAAATCCACCCCTCGTATCTTACAAAAGAGGACGGTCGCTCAAAGACATACTCTTGAGGGCCAAACTTTGAATAGGCTATTCAAAACACGCGCTGGGGTGTCGTGTAGGCCTGTCAACCCCATTTTACATTACCTAGATGGCACAAAATGTTGGAAGTTAGACAGAGCAAAAAGAAGATACTACCATATTAACATAGCATGTCTGTCCACACGTCGTCCCTGGTTCCATACAGGCCACTTGCAAGGTCTGTTGAGGAGAACTGAGGGAGGCCTGTCTCTAACGGAAGAGCTTATAACTTTTGTTAAGCAGTGCTTTCCCGGAATTGTAATTGAATAAATGGCAAACTGACTTAGGCATTGCTATATTTTCTTTGTACCCTTTTAATGAATAATCGAGATCTCGATTAAAGGGAGGCTGACCATGTTAACCTATAATTTGACAAATAATTTGCTGTTTATTATTTAATTACATGGCCATTAGAATATTGATAAGTTAATAATTAAAAATAAACAAAAGATCAAATAAAAGAATAGATAAAAAAAATTGAAGCTGGGGGTTTGATTGTTCCTCGAGGATCTCTGGGTAACTTCGGAGACCCTCGGATAGTTTTCGGTTAATCCTTGGAGTGTATATTTGGAGCTTGTACACTCATTGGAAAAATCTTGAAAAAAGAAAGAAGAAGAAATGAAAAAACAAGCCTTCAAAAATTCAGGGATCTCTGGGTAACTTCGGAAACCATCAAATAATCTCCGGGTAACTGTGGAGACCCTTGGATAGTTTTCGGTTAATCCTCGGAGTACACATTCGGAGCTCGTACACTCTTCGGAAAAATCTTGAAAAAAGAAAAAAAGAAGAATTTTAAAAAAACCAGCCTTAAAAAATTCAGGGCTCTCCGGGTAACTTTGCAAACCATCAAATAATCTTCGGGTTAATCATCTGAGTATTTTCGGAGCTTGTACACTCTTCGGAAAATGATCGGAGTCATTTTGAATAAAAAAACAGACGTTGAAAAATTCGGGTGGGGTTCCGGCGGAATTCCGGATTCCTGGTTTTCCAGATTACCCTCCCGAATGACTGAATTATTGCAGTTATTTTGCTTATTGATATGCAGTTCACTATGACAAGGCCTGAAATCTGAAATGAAATCTAATCTCACGTACAGCCTATAAAGCTCTGTCATCTTTTATTGAAAATATAGTAACGTGAACAAATGATGATTTGTTAGCAGATGTTTTGGTGTATAACAAGGTACAAAAAAGTGAATGTCAAGGAGGCTGGAGCTGGCCTAGACTTAAACTAAACATGTCAACTGACTTAATTTGCAGTTGAGTTTGTTTGGCAATATTGAATTTACGTCCGAGTCATTAAGTGACAAGAAGTACAATACAAATAACAATCCTGCTAAGTTAAACTGGCTTAAATACAACTCACCGTCGAAAAAAGAAAAACAATTTGCAAATAGATTGCATGTTGCCATGGGTCTGTTCAGTAATAAATCACAGAAGAGGTCAAAGTATGGTAAGAACAAAAAAGTGGCACACAAGGATTGTGTCATGGATGTTCTCACTGGATTTTGACATCCTCTGAGATTGAACAGATCCAACGCAATATGGAATCTATTTGTTTTATATAATAAGGAGGCAGAAACTGTCAGTGATGATGTTATCTATGCATTTGTCCCACAATAGATCATAAATAAGGAGCAATCAAAATGCATAGTGCACAATTTAGCTTATTGCATAATTTCTCCTAGATTTCACCCTATTTGTTAACAGGATAATTGAATTCAACACCAACCTCAATAACTCAAACTATTGCTTGTTTCCCTTTTGACTTTGAGTTACGTGGATTTTACTGTGTTACAAATCCCCTCTCATGACATGCTAGTTCATCACAGGCTAACCCAGCTTTTGGTAGGTTATGTATTCACTCCGACGAAGGGCTAACGCTCGAAACATCAGCTTTTATAATCTTAACAGTGACCAATTTACCATTTCAACTTAGTTGATATATTCACATTATTTTGGTAGGTTTTCCTCACAACTCATTGGTACTCAATTACTTAACTGAGTAGAGAGAGGTTTTGCCAAAGATCAGGCCTTGAACAGATTCCTTCAAATCAAGTGCACTTTACTAACTGCTGTCTAAAAGTCGCTTTGCTAAATGGGCCTATATCACCTAAAAGCAAGCTGTTTCACTGGTTTACTAGTGGTGGTTAAAACAGCTGACTTCATAGCATGCTAACTTAGGATTTCTTCTCTGTGGTTTCACTTTCTTTTTTAATACCTGATTTCTCCTGTGAAAGCTCCACTGGCGACTTTGTAACAGTTTTGAGCTGAAACATAAATGCCTGGCTTGACAGCTTTACAGACATAATCCAGATAAATGGAGGGGGGAGAAACTACAACATCTGTAGAGACAATCACAAAATAATGCCTGTCACTAGCACACTTCTTTGCAGCATACAAGCTTACAGTATCAATATCAAATCATCTAATGATCTCAGCGCGAATATCTTTAGAACAGTTTTTAAGTTTAGTAAAAATTCCTTCCGTCCTTCGTCAGAGAGCCCCCCTTCAGAAAATCCTATTTTTGTTAGCAAACTCCAGGAGAGAGACAACCCATTCCAAAGGGCGGAAACGTTAACGCTTACATGTAAATAACTCTAAGTTGCATTTTTTTTTTTAAATTAAACGAGAACACTAAACGTAATAGAGAAATAATTTCTTGGTCATGGGGGTTCATCGGCGCACCAACTAAATCGCATGAACTCCAGTGCTACTCGTGAAGTCTTAAAATTAGATTTCAACAAACATAGATAAATTTTAAACTGCATGATTTGATTTTAGGAAACTCGACTACTCATTAAAGACTATTTCTGATGACAAACATTACGACAGAAAAATACCGTTGTAGCTAGGAAATGTATTGGCCTTATGGGCAGTGTATGTAACAAACCCGTGAAGGAGGACAGATCACTTGACGCCAAGTTCTTTAAAATTTCATCTATTTTTCCTTTATTTCCGTTCATCTTCCAGTTGCCACCCACGAAAAATTTCCTCTCCATTGTGAATTCCTCTACAGCACAGCAGATCAAATGAGGACAGAGGATGACACTCCACCAGAAGGACGATGAAACCAGCTACAGAGAAGGTCGAGCGTCGCTAAGAAGAAATGTTGAGCGTGGACCTCGGACCGACTGAGTCTGCAGGCGCGAGTCAGTGTTATGTGGTTTAGTCATTTTTACGTGGTGTAAGGTAATAAGATTTCCTTACCGAAACCTTCCGAGAAAGTAAGGGCATGAAGTCAAACTTTTGTCTTTTTGTTATCACTTTTAAGGATTACTCCAAAATGAAAAAATATAACTATTTTGTAAAATTTTGTTAAAGGAAACAAATAAATCATGCACTATTAACATGTCCCGTGAATAGCGCGTGCTGTTGGCAACGCAATCACGGACTTTACTTTGCTTTGTATCTGCTTTGAGGTAAAGTCGCACCTCTTTCTCGACCAATCAAATGCAAAACCTGGTCACGACCCGGCTACACTCGCGTTTCCCTTTTCTTTACGATAAAGTGCAGGTATCCATATTTCAGTCTTAAGAAGATTGTTTTCTGGCATTTTTTCTCCTAATCGTTACATCGACATTGCTGACGTCGTCATCAAAGTCAAGTCACTTTGCTCTAATGATGACTTCTGCACAGGTTGTCGATACGTCAGTCACCACCACCGACAACAGTCCTACTCAGGACTACACTCAACCAGGCGATCACACTACACTTCCACATGTTACCCCCGGGTTCAACCCATTTAGTATATTACTAACCGCCTCCCAGTTAGCTCAATTGGTTAGAGCGCTGGACTGTTGTGCGGGAGGTCGAGGTCGATGGTTGGAGCCCCGGCCGGACCAACACTCAAGGTTTTAAAATAACTGAGGAGAATGCGCTACCTTTCTTTAATAAGAAATGGATAGACATTCTAGTCTTCTCGGATAAGGACGAATAAACCGTAGGTCCCGTCTCCTGCATCTATTAATTAGATAATTTGGTTAGGCAGGGGACGTTAAAGAACCCACTCACGAGATTACTGTGATGTGGTCTGGCCTGTTTACTGGGAATTGGAGGGAGGGGGCATCTTCAAATAAGTTTCCTTCGATTGTTTGTAAAACTGCTGATGCAGTCTGGCCAAAGTCCCCCGAACATTGTTGTGATGCGCATTTGATCATATCGACATGTTAATTTGCGCAATATAAATATTAAATTATTAAATAAATAAATATTAAACTATTATTTCTTCATGGGACTCACATTTCATTAATTCTAAGTTCTAATGTTGCAATTTAGAATCAAGTGTAGTATTACAACTGACTGAGGTCTATCTTGGGTTCATAGTGTTTTTACATAATTGTATAAAATGTACATGTAACTTTGTGTTCATGTTTAGTTTTTTTAGCGCTTTGCGTCCGATTGTAGTGTTAGAATTGTGACATAAAACACGTCACTTAATGTTTTGACATTTCTAATCAATTCTTCCCATTCCCTAAATTATACAG